AATTATTTACTGAACCCTTAAATTAATCAATTATATAATGAAAGCCATAAAAACAGACAATTAATTGCCGTGACTATTTTTAGACAATTAATCGTCAGGCAAATTTCATAATCGTGACAGCCCTATATGAAATAACCCCCCACAAAGCAGGAGACATAGAGGGGACAATACAAGCCAAAACAAGAACAAAACACCCCCGCTGCGTGCAGCTGAAATCAACCACACACTCATCACAATGAAAACATCGACCTTAGAAATAATGAACGTGAACACTGGGATAATCGCCGATGTATATGGCGAACCTCCATTGAAATGCATACACAAGAATGCTTAGTTATTTAATTTAACCGGTTTCATGTCCGTTACTATCGGCGTGTCCTCAGAGCGATTACATATGCTCTAAACTGCGTTTTGCTCCAACTGTATAAACACAGATGCTAAATGCTGCTGCTAATATGCTTAATATTCACTCCTGCATACAAGTGAGTCAAATATGAGGTATGAACTTGCAATTATGAGAAAGAAGTCACATTGTAATATATAAAGAAATGTGAAAAAAATAAAGGTGCAAAAATGGTAATGTAAACATGGTAATGTACATGACAATGTTAATGTATTTGGTCTTGGCGGAATAGATCTGCTACGCTGCTGCTGCTGCTGTTGCTGCGGTACCGAGACTTGCTACTGCCAATACATCCACAACATGCTGCTGTGAGCATGTAAGAAATATTACTGCTGCAGATATAACATGCATGAAATAACCCCCATATAGCGCACATGAATCACCTCGTAGCAGATCTATACAGGTGGAGCTGGGGAAGGTGGAGGGTTTCTGAAGCAAGCTGCAACTGCTACGGCAAGCACTAGTCATGTATTTGAATGTTGAGCAGCGAGCTCATTGGCTACCGATACAGGAGAGAACCAATCAGCTGTGCCATGTGATAATGCTATTAGGTCAGATTGAGTTAGACCTATCGGACTGCGCCATCTAGAGTTTCATGCCAGAACTCTGCATTTATTTTTGATTTTCTATTTATCAAAGAATCTTGAAAAAAGGAATGATGGTTTCTACAAAAATATTAAGCAGCACAAGTGTTTTCAACATAGTAATAATAAACGTTAATTGAGCATAAAATCAACATTACTGAAGGATCATGTGGCACTGAAGACTGGAGTTATGGCTGCTAAAAAAAATCAGCTATGCATCACACAAATAAATTACACTTTAAAACATATTAAAATAGTTAAATTAATAATAATAATTCTCTCTGTTTCATTAAATAATGCACTCTTGGTGAGCATAGGAGACTTCAAAAACATTGAAAAAACATACAGACCCCAAACATTGAACAGTACTTTTGAATAACATGAAGGTGAGTAGATGGTGTTAGATGTTATTCTAGTTTATTTCTAGCTGTAGATTTGTAGTTGAGTTTCTGGCTAGTGCTCATGGGTTGTTCTGGCTGTGGGCAGCAGGGAGCAGTTGGATGCCTAGCAGGGGGGCGACAGAGAGGCCTGTTGGAGTCAGAGTGGACCGCCTGTCCTGAACAAGACACATGGACAAAGATCTAAGGCTGGTTTAGCATAGGACCTCAGCCTGAGCCAAACCTAGGGCTCATCAAAGCTTCCTGGTCAACTGTCGTCTGCTTTCATCCCCTTCCCATCTGCCCCCATCCGCAAACACGCATACACACGTTCCCCCTTTTAGCCCACCTTTGACTCCAATGTTATTGCATTATTTGCAATAAAATTGGCCTGCATGTCACAGCAAACTGGTGCTTTGCTGAGCACTTTATCATCACCATGACCTCTTGTGTTATGTCTGATGGTGATAATCTTTTGAATTATAAAGGTTCGATGCAGTCCAAGGTGCTTAGAACTGTTATTCAGTATCCTACTGAGCACAGTGATTTAACAACAACAAAAATCAATTCTCTCTACTGACCATTCGATTGGAGTTGTCTTTATGATGCATTCAGTCTTCACTGCAAGTACACAAAGAAGTAGTCTAATGCCTAATACTTTCTAAATGACCAGAGTTGTGTTAAATGAGCCTCATTTAAAGCCATTATTGTACAAATTGAACTGGTTGTTAGGAAAACTACAGCATGAGAACAAATTGAATAACATGAGCTTCTGGAAAATGTGAATGAAACAAATAGCCTACTCCCCAGAGTTAGCCATTAAATAAGCTTAAACAGGCTTTTTTTAGTCATTCAGCTCATTAAAGAAGATTTTTATGAGATTTATTAAAGTCCAGTAAAGCTGTGGGCATATTGACAATTTTCAGAATGTTTAGCCTAGAAGTAAGATACTGTAAGAAAAAGATTTTTCTTCAGTTGGTTAAAAAGGTGCTGACAAGTGCTGTGTTATCTTTCTTTTCTTTCTTTCCTCTTGTAGACACTTTCTTTTCAAGACGCCGTCTGGGAGCACTCCTCTGTTCAGCAGCTCTTCACCAGGTTATCCCTTGACTGGTGGTACCGTCTACTCCCCACCACCCCGGCTCTTACCCAGAAACACATTCTCCAGGAGCTCCTTCAAGCTGAAGAAGCCCTCCAAGTACTGCAGCTGGAAATGCACTGCTGTGTCTGCGATCGCAGCCGCTGTGCTGCTGGCCATCCTGCTGTCTTATGTCATAGGTATGTCTTTCAAATCATTGTTTGTCATGGATGATTTTGTCCCCAAATAAAATGCAACTGGGATCTGCTACAGTGGAAGCATCCCCAGTTGTTCAGGAGGTGTTTTTATTTCATTAGTTGATATTAAAATTAGTGCTGTCAAACGATTAATCGCGATTAATCGCATCTAAAATAAAAGTTTTTGTTTACATGATATATGTGTGTGTGCTGTGTATATTTATTATGTATATATAAATACACACACATGCATGTATATGTTTAAGAAAAATATGTTACGTTTATATATGATTTAAATTATATGAATATAAATATATACATGTAAATACATGTAAATATTTTCAGAATATATGCTGTATGTGTTAGGGCTGCACGATTATGACAAAAATCATAATTGTCGATTATTCCCTTGAAATTGTAAGTGCGATAATTAATTACGATTATCAAAATTTACATTGAATGATGTTTATACCATTGTTTGATGCAACTGCATGCCGTATTTTTATATGAAAATAAACAAGCTGAAAACACTCTAACTGAAAAACTTTTAGTGCTTTTCTATAGTATTAAGCCTGAAATGTGAACTATATATATTATGTAAACAAAAACTTTTATTTTGGATGCGATTAATCACGATTAATCATTTGACAGCACTTATTAAAATGAATTGCAATCTGGCATTGAATTTGTTTTGCTGAGTGATTGGTTCAGTTGTGATCAGTGGCAGAAAAAAATTCAGCTATGAGACAAGTCTTTAATATTTTGTGATATGAACCACAACCATAAATGTGTGTCCATAATCTTTACGCTGTGATGTCCTTGAGGATTCATGCTTGAGGCCAAAAAAAAGAAACTTTCTTAGCATAAAAGTAACTTTTTAAGCAATTTATCATGATGCAAACTGTGATATTTAATTCACATTTTACAATTCAATCATGCATAATTAGGTCCTGAACTGAATTCATGGATCCTTGATGGATCATTTATTGCTGTCTAAACAATAAGTCAGCAACCACGGAATGATAAATCAATTAATTTAATTAGACACTCCTTAAATGTCATGAGCACGAGTTACCGTAGTTAGCAGAGGGTTTGCTGGGCGGTGCTCAGTGTCCTCTAGCACACCATGGCCTTTCAAAGCTCACAGAATGACCCTGAGATGACTCACTCAGAAAAATGACATTTATCACGAAGAACGAAGCACTTCAAAGCGTCTTTGATAAACCATTGATGTGTGTTATTGTTGTGGTACAATTGCAGCAAAGCAAATACCCACGCAGAGGGGCGGAAGGAGCCTCAACGTGTGGACGTTTACTTCAGACGGCAACATGTGATTCACCTGCCGTTTGATATGAGCTGTGTTTCGGATGTATTTGGGAAGGAGGGTTTGGTCTTATCAAGGCACCTCTCTGCAGGGAGTGTTGCTTAGTTTCAAATCTAAAGTTCCTCTCTTTTTATAAAAACAGATTTAGGTTAAGTTCTTAGTAACTGAGAAGCGAAAAGTTGTAAAGTTGTTCTGATACATCTTCAAGTGAATTTGTTAAAAAAAGACCAAAAAACCCCCATGTTTTAGTGCATTTTCGTGGGTGAGTGTTGCACTTGAATGGTAAGGAAAGGCAAAAGAGACTGCGTGTAGAGTCCGATAAGAGTTGGATCCCTTCCAGAAACACAGTTGATGGTAAATGTCACCAAGCACCTTGAGTCTGCGCCAGTCTGCGAGAGAGTTGCACTTTTACAAAGCAGTGAAGAAAACAACGTTCTGTCTGGCAGCGGACGGGCCTGACGGGCCACTCTGATGAAAGGCCCACCCAGTTTATTATACAAATATAATATTTGTTAAATACTTATTGTTTAATCTATTTTAACACAATTAGAGAACTATTATAACATCTCAAATAACTAAAATACATCAAATGTGTTTTTGCATAATTCTTATGCAGACTGCAATTTGCAGCTGTTTTAAAAAATGTTAGAAAAACAGCAGCAATGCATGATTCTGTAAAAAAAAGACTTTAAAAAACTCGCACTGACGAGGGAGAAAGCCCGTCCAGCAGCCCGCAAGTAACGGTAAGACTTTCAGTTCCAAGCGCGAACCGGTTCATTCTGTGAAGCCGGGACATGACTCACAAACATGACATTTCTGAATAAAAGAATTTTATACACTTAGCTATATCTAATTGGCATTTTCAATTAACATAGGCCTGTTACATTCTTCTTATTAGCCTATTAGGCCTATTATTATTATTAAGTTACTTTTATTAAATTAATATTACAATTAATTTGCCCCGCAATAATTTCATAGCGCATCACCGCATAACTGACGTGCTGTGAGGATAATAAAGATTAGGCTAGCTTACTCCTCATTGAAAATGTTTTTAAAAAAGTCTTCAAACAGGTTTATTATAGCTACAATGAATTATAGGCCTATAATTAAAATTATTAACACTGCAATCATCAATGAAAAAGCTTTATTTCAAGCACTGACTTTAAAAAAAAAAAAAAAAAAAAACTGTTTAACACGAAATACGTTTCTTCGCTCTTTATTTATTTATTTTAATTTTTTTTCCACTAGCCTATGTTCAGGCCACAAGAGAAATGTTAAGGGAGTAAATTAAAACATTTAGCTATGTAGGCTACCATTATCAGCATATGAAGTAGATTTGTCTCCTGTCGTCTCTGAGAGAATATGCGCAGTTAATGCAGCGTCAGATGTCGAAAGCGCCATCAGTTTTTACTTTCACTTTCTAGTGAATCGACTGAGATTAAGAGGTTCACCGCATAACTCTTGAGCAAAGTTTGCACGTTGCTTGTGTGATATCCATTGGCTCGCCTTCCTGATTAAAAACAATTATTTACAATATTGCGACATATAACCAACCCACCCACCCTTGAGTTCGTGGTTGGGGGCCGCGGATTTGCGCTACGCCACTGGACTCCGTCCGTTAGTTAGCCTAGTGCCCGCTTACTTTTGCCCAGGCCCGCCCAAAAATAAAATTCTGTCTACGCCACTGATCCTCACATTTACAATTTCAATATCTCATTTGTTTTTCTTTGTTTATTTTGCAGGCGTACTTGGCTTCTGCCTTATTTTTAGTTTTTGTACACATTTCCAAGTCAGTTTTTGCCTCAGTACCGTCAGACATTCATAAATATACACACATACACACTCTGAATATATGCTCAAGGTACTTTTGATGTGAGTGTGTTTTTAAATGAGAGTGTATTTGTGTGTCTGTGTCTTGTGCGCAGTGGCCTGTAAAGTGTTCTGTAACCTATTCCAAAACCTCAGGGACTTCTTGCCGGTACAATGCGACTCTTAATGCATATGTGTGGCTGGTCCACTGAGCTGTAACCACCCACCGAGCAACACTGTTCATTGCCTGAATCGCACAGGTTCTTGAAAAGTTTCCACCAGACTTCACACAACACTTTGTATTTGAATGCACACTTGGACTGAAAGCTGCAGTTCTCCTGGTCCATACCGTACACCACATAGTAGTGTGCTTTGTTTTGTTTTCTTTGGATATAATAAGTAATGTTGCCTCTTTCAAAGGAAATAATAGTGTATAATAGTCTATATAATATACTTATTTGTATTTATAGTAGTAGTCTGGCATTATATTTTAATATTATTTTCCAGTAATTCCTCATGCATTTCTTTATTATATGATAAATACAGTTTGGGTTCTGTAAGTGTTTTTCTCTCTCTCTCTCTCTCTCTCTCTCTCTCTCTCAGCAGCCATTACTACAGTCTTCCATGTTAAATTATCTTTTAGAAATTATTCTAATATGCTGATTTGGTGCTCAAGAACCATTTCTTAAAATTATCAATGTTGAAACAGTTGTGCTGCTTAATATTTTTGTAGAAAACATGATAGATTTTGCAGTTATTGATGTATAGAGAGTTCAAAAGAACAGAATTTATTTGAAACAGAAATCTTTTATAACATTATAACTGCTTTTGAACAGTTGTGTTTTTACACTTTTACCTTGAAAAATATTTAGAAAATAGACTTTTATTTATTTATTATTTATTTTATGTTTTAATTGGTGGTTTTTAGATTTCATTTTTGGTCACACTTTATTTTAAGGTCCAATTCTCACTAATAACAAACCATTAACTACAACTTTTGCCTCAATAAACTACTAATTTGCTGCTTATTAATAGTTAGTAATGTAGTTGTTGTCAGACTTTTGGACCCGTTTTGCCTCCGTAGTTCTTCCTGTGTTTCCTTTTATGGTATTTTTCCTGTTCTTTTTTAGTTTTATTACTTCAAGATTCCATGCACCTGTGTTCCCCTGATTGCCCTGGGTTTATAAGCCCCAGTCTGTTCAGTCTGGTTTTTGTCAGGTCTACTTGTTGGATGTTGTGTGTTTCCCATGTTCCTGTTGTGGATTTACCCCTGTGATTCAAGTATTAAAGACTGTTGAATGTTTCTCCTGAGTTCTGGCCTGGGAGGAACGAGCCCTCCATCGTTCCTCCCACAGCGAATCGTGACAGAAGACCCGACCAAAACAGTTACCTCCGTGTGTCTACCCTCCGTTTTTGTTTCCGTTTTTTATGCCTCAGTGTTTTGTTTCCGTTGTGTTTTTCATGGATCCCCTCTCCCGTCCGGAGTACCTCCTCCTCCTGCTGGAGCAGGGGGAGGGATCGCTCGAGGGCCATACTAGACTGTTCCTGGTCCTCGCTGCTCTAACCAGCTACCCGGACGACGCGCTCTGTGCGTTCTACGACACCAGTTTAAACATCTCGTGAAGAGCGCTGTCGTCCGAAGAGTGGACAGTCACAAGTTGTGGAATGGGATCTCACCAGTGCCACTCCGAACCCAGTGCCCAGCCCACCATCTCCCCGCTGCGCGGAGCGCATGGCCGAGCCCACCGCTGACGGAGAGCCAGAGCCCGCCGCGACCGACAAGCCATCGCCGCACGGAGCGACAGAGCTGAGGATCGCCGCGGAGCCAGAGCTGCTGATGAGGTCAGTCAAGGTGTGTGAGCCGGCAACA